GAGACCCTGTACCAAATACATAAAATGAAAAAAAAAATGTATAGCAGCATTCCATCTGCTAAATTAATTTCTTGTCAACAGAAATTGAAGTTACCCAATCAAGAGCCAATTTTAGTTTTTAAATGAGCAGTATCTTCCATATCTGCCTTATGGTTCCTTAGATAAAGATAGTCTTTCACATGGGAATTTCAAAGCAGTTAATTAGTTGTTATAACAGCTCTGTGAAGTGGGTGCAATTTTTATTGTCTGTTTTCAACATGAGAAGACTGACAGGCCAAATAATTTCTCATTCCTGTTAGTGAAGCTAACATTGACCTTTGTTTTGGTATATATGTATATACATATGTATGTATGTATGTATGTATGTATGTAAACAAGGCCTCATATGTAGCTCAGGGTGGACTTGAACTTGCTGCATCCTCCTGCCTCAGCCTCTGTAGTACAGGGATTGCAGGTGTGAATCACCACAATCTGGCTTTTTGCCTTTACCACTGACAAACCCAACACCTTCCCCACTGAGCGACATCTTCAGTTGTTTTTTTTTTTTTTTTTCCTCTTTTGTCTTTTTGAGACAGTCTTGCTATGCAGTTCAGGCTAGCCTTGTAACCCAGGGCTGGTCTCAAACTCCTAATGATCTTCCTGCCTCAGCTTCCCAAGTGCTAGGACTGTAGGTGTGTGCCATCATGCCCAAATGTTTTTGATTTTTATTTTGAGACAAGTTTTTGCTAAATTGACTAGGCTAGGTTTGAACTTGTGATCCTCCTGCAGAGTGCTGGGATTTCAGGCAGAGAGCACAACATACTTGGTGGCTATTTTTTTTTCCTTGAAAAATCACAGAATAAGCCAAGCTTAATTATCTATTCGGGTGTCAAATAGTTTAAAGACATATTTTTAAAAATTCTTCTTAAAAACCTGGGGAATAAAGCTATTTTAAAATATATCAATAGGGGCTAGGGATTTAGTTTATTGGTGCAGACCCTACCTGGCAAGCATGAGGTCCTGAATTCAATTCCTAGCACGCAAAACAAACAAGCAAGTAAACAAAGCCCTTAAATTATGCCTGTAATCCCAGCACTGGGAAGGCTGCAAATAGGAGGGTCACTACTAGTCCAAGTGCATAGTGAGACCCTGTACCAAATACATAAAATGAAAAAAAAATTGTATAGCAGCATTCCATCTACTAAATTAGTTTCTTGTCAACAGAAATTGAAGTTACCCAATCAAGAGCCAATTTTAGTTTTTAAATGAGCAATATCTTCCATATCTGCCTTATGGAATGTGGCTGGCATGGCATTTGGTGCCAGGGATTGAACTGCAGTCCCTGTGCTTGCCTAAGCTTGCCTAAGCAGGCACTTTAGACTTGCTGGGATGTCTCACTGACCCAAACCCCTTAAATTCTCAAAAAAAGAAAAAAAACAAAGGCTGGGGTTGTGGCTCAGTGGTAGAGTGCTTGCTTAGTATGCACAAGGCCCTGAATTCAATCTCCAGTACCACACACACACACACTGTATATATATATATATATATATATATATATATATATATATATATATATATTTATACATAGATATGTATATATATGTATATATTTACATAAAATCCATGATAATACTATTGTACTGTCATCTGAAATTTGCTTTGAATGTTTTTTTCAATTACAATAAATGTAAGTACTGGGTACATAGCCTAATTGTAGAGCATGCTTTAGACCCTGGATGCAGTTCCCTAGCACTACATAGTAACTAAATAAATATAGTTTTTAAAAGGTCTCCCTGCTAGGCATGGTGCTATATAACTGCAATCCCAGCATGGGGGAGGCTGAAGCAGGAGGATAGCCATGGGTTCAAGGACAGCCTGAGCTACACAGTGAGACTATGACTAAAAAATAAATAAATATTGAACTCCCCTGCTTAAAAAATAAAATCCTGTGCTAGGAGGTTGAGGTGACATGGCCACAAGTTGAGCCCAGCTTGAACACTTAGTAAGTAGAAGATCTATTTTTTTTTTTTAGAAGATCTATTTTTAAAACTATTTTTATTTTTATTTTATTATTATTATTTTTTTGTGGTACCAGGGATTGAACTCAGGACCCTGCTCTTGCCAGGCAAGTGCTTATTCTACTGAGCTATCTCCCCAGGCCCTAGAAGATCTATTTTTAGAATAAAGGTCCTGCACTTTGTAAGTTTAAGTTACACTCTTGCAAAGGGCAGGTTTATTGCATTCCTCACTTGTGCTGTGCACTTTACACTTAATTATCTCATTTAATCTGTAACATGATGAGGTAGTTCTGGTCACTGTACTTCTCACTTTTCAGATAGAAGGGCTGGTAATAAAACTTACTTAACATTACCTAGAAGAAAAGAAGGTAGGCAGGATTTAAGTCATCCAGTTAATAACACTGTTTTGATGCTGTCTCATTTTAAAATTTAATTTAATTTAATTTTTCTGGTAAAGCTGGGGATTGAATCCTGGTCCTTGTCCCTAACAGGCAGGTGTTCTGACTCTGAGCTACATCCCAGGCTCATTTATTTGTGTTTGCTGAACCAGGTGTATGGCAGTGGTGCATGTCTGTAATCCCAGCACTCAGGAGGCTGAGGCAGGAGGATCCTTTTGAGTTTGTAGCCAGCCAGGGTTATAAAGTAAGCTCAAGGCCAGCCTGAACTGCATAGCAAGATCCTGTCTCAAAAAGACACACACACATAAAAAATGTTTGGGCACTAAATTGCCCCAGTTGGTCTTGAATTTCAACCCTCCTGTGTCAGATTTTCTTCCTTCCTTCCTTCCTTCCTTCCTTCCTTCCTTCCTTCCTTCCTCCCTTTCATTTTCTTTGTTTCTTTTTTAAGTTACTTTTTCCTTTTGCTATTTTGCAAACCCAGGGGCTTCGCCCTGACTGAGCTGCATGTACCAGCCCTTACTTTGTTTTTTTTGGTTTTTTTTTTTTTGTATTTTTTTTTTCTTTTCAAAGTTTTATTGATAAACATATAGCAATGAGACAGTTTCAAATCAAATCGAGAGTACAGTTTCAACAAATAATACACTGCATATATTCTTCTTAGTGGTTAATTGCTGTACAAGATGAAGACTTGTGATCCTACTTACAAACACCATTAGAAAAAATCATTCTATTCATTAAGAGAATGCAACTATATATCTATCCCAACCACTTTGAATACACAGATACAAAATGGACATTCATAGTTATATCCCATTTTTTTAAGTTCCGTTATTGAATATTATAGGTGTGTAAATTCAGCAAAATATTCTAAAAGAGTCCAGTAGCCCATAATAGCAATGGGTCTTCTGTTTAACTGGCAATGTCAGAAATTATTGACCTGAGTCCCCCACAGCTCAACATAACAACATGGCTTTACTTCCTATATTTCATCTTCATACTTTTCTACTGGATGGTTAAGACCAAGGTAAAGCAGGACCTGTGCAACAAAAGTTGTAGCTTTTTGGTCTGAGAAGGTCAGTGAAATGCCCTCAGGATTAATCCTAAGATCCTGTACCTCAGATTGTAGAACCTTTGTCAGTGTCAGCCATGTGGATGAGTCACGGCCAATGCTTGGCCAATGTGCTCTCTGTGAAAGCCTGAGAGAGTGTCTTCTCCCCATGTGACTCTCCTTAGGCACACTCTATGTCATCGATCACTTTCCTCTTTGGCCCCATAATCTTCTTGATCAGAAAATTTGGGACACTACCGAGGTACATGACGTTACAGTACAGTTTCTCATATGTCCTGAGTCTTAATTGACCTTAGAAGGCTAGGGCCAAAATGTTGGCTTTCCTTGTAGCCCTCCTTTTTCTCTAATTTTGGTCTGCAAACTTAGGTTGTTAACCATCCAGAAGACAAGCTTATTGTTATTATCAAACGATTTAGGCTATCAAGCTTAAGACAGCCCTTACTTTGATCACGGCCCCCCAACTGCCTCCCTGCACCCCTCCTCTCCCGCTTCCTTCCCCTTTCCTATACTTGATCTTAGCCCAAAGGCAGAGTAGCGATCTCCGCCTCTTTTCTAACTGGGCCCCTTACTCATTCAGGCCACATCTCTCTGCTTTTTAGACTCCATATATGGAATAAATGTACACTATTTGTCTATTTGGCTTTTTTACTTAGCATGATGACTTCCAGTTCTTTTTTTGTTTGGTTGGGTTTTTTTTTGGTGGAACCGGGGATTGAACTCAGGCCCTTGTGTTTGCCAGGCATGACTTCCAGTTCTACCCATGACTTCATTCTTCTTTGTGGCTTATGCTCTATTATGTTTAATACTGCATTTCATTTATCTGTTCATCTGCTGATAGGCACCTAGGCTGGTTTCCACACATTAGCTAACTGTGTTATGGGTCAACTCTGCATAGGAACCAGATCAGCCAGATAGAAATTTGAATAGAGCCTTTATTTACTGGGCTCAGGTCTGTCAGCCACTTTTCATGCAGGAGAAGGTTGATCGGCCCTGAACGTAGGTAGCAGGGGGGTATTTATAACAGAAATCACATCCAGTTTGGTAAGCAAATTTGTTACCTAGCACAGAACAACAGAAACTACATTTATTTGACACAGCTGCAAACTGTTTACAACTAAAAGGTCTTTTACAGCTTAGTGATAAGTGTATATTTTTATAAGATATATCTTAAGCTGACTATGTTACAGGAGATGGTTGGGGAGGGAGTTTGTGTTAGCTTTCTGCCTTGACAAGAAACAGTTATTTATTGTTGAACAGCCTTGAGCTGAAAGGGAGAATATATTTCTTAGAGTAGATAACAGGAAGCACAAGGGTTTTTTTAAATAATTTTTTACAGTTGAGGCACAAAACTCTGTTAACCCTTTACAACTGTGAATTGGACCTCAATAAATATGGGTACTACAGTATGCCAACTTTAATTCTTTTGGAAATATAACGAGGAGTATTATAGATGGATCAAATGCTGTATCTATTTTGAATTACTTGAAGAACCTCCATCCCGATTTCCATAGCAGCTATACTAAAAAAAAGAAAAAAGAAAGATAGAAATTATTCGTAAATGTGTATAACATTCTTGTGCAAGGCCTGGCCAATTTTCTATGCATTTTTCCAATTCTAGTATATTTGCTGCTGTAGCAAGACCACATTTTTGGTATTTTGTTTGTTTCTTTTTTTAAAGACAGGATCTGTCTATGCAGTTCAGGCTGGCCTTGAGCTCATTTTATAGCCCATGCTGGTCTTGAACTCACAAGGATCCTCCTCCTTCAGTGTCCTGAGTGCTGGGATTATAGACAAGCACTGCCACACCTGGTTTAGGTTTTTCTTTCTCTAGCCCTAGTAAATGTTCTATGTCAGAGACTAGTTTTGTCATCTTGGTTACTGTAATCTTTGAATGAATTAAACGTGACATTACTCACTGGCAGCTCTTTGAGAAAAATTAAAACAAGCCTGTCACCACAAAGATTATATCCTAGGGGCTGGGGAGATGGCTCAGTAGAATAAGTGCTTGCCTGGCAAGCACAAGGACCTGAGTTCAATCCCCAGTTCCACAAAAAAAAAAAAAAAGATTATATCCTAGCAGGAGTAAGGTATGCTATAAGAAATTCTATAGAATTCTGTAAGAAATTCTTATCATATATTTGTCTTTTGCTTATTATACTACTAAAAGAATTTTAAACCAGGTGTGGTAGCACACACCTGTAATCCCAGCACTCAGGAGGATGAGGCAGGAGAATCACTGTGAGTTTGAGACCAGCCTGGGCTACCTAGTGAGTTCATGGTCAGCTTGAAATACGTAGTGAGACCCTGTCTAAAAAAGAGACCCCTCAAAATTCCAGT